AGCAGGAGTGGCATCCACTTCCAAAATAGCTTGCCTCTGGAAACCATATGAACTTGGAGAAACGATGAAAATTATACAAGTGTTCAGGTCTTTTGTTTATAGGGTTGCTATGAGTCATCTGTGACTTAATGGCACTTAATAGGAACAACAACATGATCTTTCTGGCTTCCCTTCTCTTCCAATAACACAAAGATGGTTCTGAGTAGGGAAGAACCACAAAACAGAAAGAGCCTTTGTCGCCTTCATTCTAGGACCTGCTCTGAGGAGAAAGATGGGTAATCTCTTCCCATGTATTCTATAGCCCAATAACTCCAATGGAGTGCTAGCTGAGAGTTGACTCCAATTGGGCAGCAAAGAGGTTGGTTTGGAGATTTTTTGGAATTAGAATATAATATAGAGAAATGTGGAAACTACAGAACAATATCACTGATTTCACATGCAAGCAAGATTTTACTGAAGATTATCCAAAAACGACTGGAACAGCACATCAACAGAACACTGCCAGAAGTCCAGGCTGGGTTTAGAAGGGGTCGTGGTACTAGGGATATTGTAGCTGATGTTAGATGGATCTTGGCTAAAAGCAGGGAATACCAGAGAAATGTCTATCTGTGTTTCATTGACTATGCAAAGGCATTTGACTGTGTGGATCATAACAAACTGTGGCTGACTCTGAGAAGAATGGGAATCCCAGAACATTTAATTGTGCTAATACGAAACCTATACTTGGACCAAGAGGCAGTAGTCAGAACAGAGCAGGGTAACACTGCATGGTTCAAAATAGGGAAGGGTGTACACCAGGGATGCATCCTGTCTCCATACCTTTTCAACCTATATGCAGAACAGATTATCCGGGAGGCTGGGCTCTATGAGGAGAAATGTGGGGTCAAGATTGGTGGACGATTTATCAACAATGTGTGTTATGCGGATGACACAACTCTGCTTGCTGAAACTGAAGAGGACCTGAAGCACCTGCTGCAGAGGGTCAAGGACTGCAGCCTCCAATATGGTTTGAGGCTCAATGTCAAGAAGACAAAGATTCTCACCACTGGACCAATTGGCAGCATCAGGATGGATGGTGAAGAAATTGAGATTGTACACAGCTTTAGTTTGCTTGGCTCCACAGTCAACAGTCTTGGCACCAGCAGCCAGGAAATTAAAAGGTGCATTGCCATGGGAAAGTCTGCTGTTAGAGACCTCTCCAAAGTACTGAAGAGCAACGGTGTCTCTCTGGAGACTAAGGTGCGTCTGATACAGGCCATGGTCTTCGCAATCACCTGTTATGCATCAGAGAGTTGGACAATGACCAAGGAGGATAGAAGGAGAATTGATGCCTTTGAGCTGTGGTGCTGGAGAAGAGTATTGAGAATACCATGGACTGCTAGGAAAACAAAAAGATTTGTCCTGGAAAGGGTTAAACCGGGTGGCTGCTTGGAGGCAAGGATTCTGAGGCTCTAACATACTTTGGACATGTTGTAAGGAAAGACAGGTCCTTGGAGAGGGACATCATGCTTGGGAGGGTGGAGGGACAGCGCAGGAGAGGAAGGCCCTCTATGAGGTGGATTGATTCAGTGACTGGGATAATTTGGATGGGAGTGTCAGAGACGGTGTAATTGGCACAGGACAGAGCGGAGTTTAGGGCTATTGTACATAGGGTCGCTATGAGTCGCAAGCGACTCGACGGCACATAACAACAACAACAACATTTAAGCATTTCTCACTCTGACTTCAATCACATATTAATATATTTGCAAATTATTTTCAAATTAATTGTTATCCTTTAACTGGACCATCATCCTTGTAAGAGATAAAATAAAGATCTTTCATTCACAAGTAAGAAAACTGATCAAGACCACCATACATACACACACTCATTGTTTTCTCTGTCAAAGAACATTTGTGCCTTAAAATAAGACTCACCCAGACAGGTCTCAGAATTTATTTGCTACCATATAAATATGAAGGGAAAGACCTCTCATGGCCTAGTGGGTCAGGTTCTGCACTGCCAATACAGAGGCAAGTGGTTTGAATCAACCAACTACTCCAAGAGTGACAGATAGGCAATCTTTTACTGTGTGATTAATAGCCTCTGAAAACCTACTAGACTGTGAGCTGAGTCAATTCCAACTCAAGTACACCTAAACAACAAAGAAGGACCTCTGTTGAGCTAGCTCAAAGGCAGCCCCTCTCTGGAAGTTTGAATCCACAGTAATGAATTTCCAAACAAACAAACAAATATATCTTGGCGGAAGTACAACCAAGGTGCCCTTTAAAGGTAAGGATGGTAAAACTTCATCTCACATAGTTTGGGCATGCTGTCAGGAGGGGTAAGAACTTAGAAAATTATATCATCCTGGGACAGGGGGAGGGTCTAGGATAGAAATGAAGACAGTCAATGAGATGTACTGACACAGTGACTACAACAATGGGCTTGAGGATGGCAGAGATCATAAGGGTGGGGCAGGGTTCAGATCTGCTGTTCACAGGGTCACTACAACGAGTCAGGGTTGACTCCAGGATACCTAATAACAACATTTGAAGCCACTGGTTTGGAGTAATTTGTTACTTAACATTTTTTGACTATAGCTAGCCAACATATAGGTATAACAGGAACTAGAACTTGGAATTTCTCCAGCCACCTTTGTTAACACCTTGAATTCTCTTGTTCACTGCTGTCAAGTCAGCCCTGAACTCACAGTAAAACCAAATAAAACCAAATGAATACATCTGCTTAGTTCTGCACCAGCCCTATAATCAGTTGCAATTCAAAGCTTTTCTATTCAGAGTGTTTCACTGGCTCATTTTCAGAAGTAGTTCTCCAGGCCTTTCCCCATTTTCAGAAGTAGATCTCCAGGCCTTTCCCCCTAGTCAATTTTGGTTAGAAAGTTCTAGCAAAACATCTTCAGCATCACAGCAGAATACAAGCCTCTGCTGAAAGACAAACTGGCTATGCATGAGGAGACTTTACCAAGAACTGAACCTGGGTCTGATAGGGTGGTATTAATAAGTTCAGAATTCTCTATATAGGTATCAATTATAAAACTATAGATCTTTCCAGCCAGCTGGACTGGTTGCTTGACCTTGGAGTTCTTAGTGTCCTTTCTGTGATCTGTTTATCAAAAGAGGAGATGCATCTCCTAGATTAGCTGTTATCTCTTTGAGGCTGTTTTCCCCAATCATATATAAATTGTAACCTAATCTGCCTTTTTGCCTGGAAAGGAAGTATTTGGGTATGAATGATTTTCTTTCAGATATAGAAATTCTTTGATTTTACTAACAGAAGTTTATTGTTAAGTAAGTTGGTGTCTCGCCATCCTATAAAAGCCCATGACCACTCCCGGACTGGGAGACAGTGTTGGAGGTGACTCATTGTATTCCAGATCTGTGTAATAAAGTGCTTATGGATATTGCAATCCCTTTGTCTATTGGTGATTGACTACAGAAAGAACCCCTTGGTTCTGTAACAGGTCTCCCTATCTGATAGGGTGGTATTAGTAAGTTTAAAATTCTCTATATATGTATCAGTTATAAAACTATAGTTATATAATTATAAACTAACATCAGTTTTCTTCAGCCTGAAAAACTAGTTACTAAGCCTCCAAATTCTATTTCCTGTCTTTAGTCATGTAAAGTAGTTTGATCTCTCTGAGGCTGTTTCCTAGTCATATGTAAATTGTATCTTAATATGCCTGTTTATGAGGAAGAGGACTGTGCCCATCCTGAATTATTATTACTTAAATATGAACTATTCTTTTCAGATGTAAAGATTATCTTTTTTAACTGAAAAAAGTGCATTGTTAAATGAGCTAGGGTTTTACCTTCATATAAAACCCAGTGATCACTCCCAAACGGGGAGGCAGTCTTGGAGGTGACTCACTGTCTCCCAGATCTGTGCTTACGGATACTGCAATCCATTTGTCTTACTGGTGATCGACTACGGAAAGAACCCCTTGCGTTCAGTAACACATCTACTACTGAATCACCAATGCTTCTGAATTCCTTTTAAAAACAAACAGCTTCAACCACCAAAGTCTATACTTGCTTCGTTTTGATTTGCGGAGACAGTCAATTATGTTTCCCAGGCTATCAATCTTTCTCCTGCAGAATAGATTAAAACTACCACCATCATGGTTCACAGCCAACACGTGAATCATTACACCAACAGGTCTGCCCCGATTCCCATGGAAATGTTTCCATGGAAAATTCAGGTTGTTCATCTGCTATAAGCCAAGTATGGAGAGCAGCTAGCGTAGAGAATAGGGAGCATTTCTGAAAGTAAATCCATGTTTGTCCTACACATACAGAATGTGGTCAGAACAGGAATTCATTCAAGGGTTTCAGTGATGTCTACATCGCTGGTCGTGTGTCCTAGATTAGTCTGTATATATGCTGTTGTTGTCGTGGGCCATTGAGTCAGGACTGACTCAGAGCTAACTCTCCACTGAGCTTTCAGAGGTTATAAATTGCTTGGGAAGAGATTGTCCATCTTTCTCCGGAGATGCAACTGGTAGATCCAAACCACCTATTGTTGGAGTGGCAGTAAAACTTATTACCACTAAACCACCAGAGATACACACACACAGAGGCACACGCGCGCGCGCGCGCACACACACACACACACACACACACACACACACACACACGTATATCTCAACAAATTTCTTACAGTGTTTGTCTCCCTGGTCCCTCTTCCTGTCCTAGTTTTCACTGTCTTTGATAATGCAGTTTGTATTGTAGTCTTGCAAATAATTGGCTTTCCGAAGGATGATATATTCCAAGAAAAGCTTGGCAAACATGTGGAGTCCTCAGGGGAAGTACGCAGACCATCTGCTGAGCCTCATTGGAATCCCTCTGGCCTACATCTCCTCCATCTAGTGACCTGGAAACATGAGAATTTGCCCAACTCTTGAGTCAAGGTCATTCAGTCTTGCTGCTAGATTTCTGAGGTCCTCCTCTTATCTTCCCTAGGTTTTGTCTACTAAGTAGAAGAAAAATGTACCCACCCTTAGGCTAAGTTCCACGTTCTCTCCTCCGTAGACTAGCATTTCGCCATCCAAGCCTCCAATCTTTCCCAAGAAGAGCCTGTCAGCAGCCAGGATGCCCATGATGGAAGGACTTCTGTGGAGCAAACAGTGAGTCACTAACCCTTCTCGGAGGAGTAGGTCAAGATGGAGGGGACAATGGGAAACCCAATGACTGTCTGACCTTAAAAATTCTACCTAAATAATGAATCAATAAACACAATGTGGAATAGACATACAATGGAATATTGTTTTGTCATAAAAGTAAAAGTAAGTCTTGATCAACCCAGATATACTTTGAATCATTATAATGAGCAAAATAAGTCAATCTCAAAAGGATAAATATCATATGATCTCTCTTATGTAAAATAAGCAAATAAATATTCTTTGTAAATAATAAGAAAATTAGTTCAAACATCTTGCAGTCAAGTCAGAATCATCTCCTAACTGACCCACCAGTGGGTGTTCAGAGGCTGTACATAGCAGGGAAGGAAATTGCCCATATTCTCCCTATGAAGTGTCTGGTGGATTCAAACTACCCAAGAGGTGCCCTCATTTGTTTAGTACTACAGTTCCTTATGGACTCTAGGACTCCTAACAAATCCATGTTGTTATTGTGTGCCATCAAATCAAAACAGATTCACAGCTGACCTTCCAGTAGTTTTTCAGGGGCTGTAAATCATGCAAGAATTTGCCCATCTTTCTCCCATAGGGCAGTTGGTGAATTCAAGCCACCTGCCATTGGCTTAGCAAGAGCAATCTCTTACCTCTATGCCACCAGAGCTTCCCTTAAGCAAACATATAGAAATAAAAAAAAAACTATTAGTGGTTACCAAGGGTAGAAGGGAGGAGGAAGGCAGTTTTTGCTTAGGGAGTGGTGAATTTATGTTAATAGGGATAGAGTAATTTGGAAAAGGATAGGGAAGATGGTTGTAGAGTTTGAAGAATATAATAAGTGTGACTGAACTATGTATTTAGAAATTGTTGGATTAGTGTATGTGTTGCCTTGTGTATTTTTACCACAATAAAAAGAAATACAATTTCTACCAAAACTTCTCATCCTGCAGGTCCTCCCTAAATCCCCAAAGTAGATTGACTACCTGTAGTCTTTGCTTATGTCCTGTGCTGTCATCATTTCCACATTATATTGGGATTATGCCTTGTCTTTTTGGTATCTCTATATTTGTGAAATTAATCTTGGCCCCATCTCTAACAAATATAATTATAAACATTAAGAATTTCCTCTGAAAGTCTCTAAACAGTCCAAAGTTTCTGTGCTGCTTTTTTCTGGGATTAACTCAACAATTGTCATTGCCTAATTTCCTATCCTCCACTCAAACCCCTCAACTTCTTCCACAGACCCCATTATTACCACCAAAGATAAACAAAACCAATAGCACAGTTTTGCCTTCCCATGTGCTAATCATGTTCCCTGGGTAGCCTCCAGACTTACCTGACTGGAGCAGTGGCATCATGCAGATCAATCCAGGCCTGAGGCAAAGAATCATAGCGGCACCACAGTTCCCAGTTAAATCCATCTACTGCCAATGCATACTTTTGCAGATCAAAGGTGTCAAAAAGAATTTTGTCAAACACTGGAGAAACAATCACAGTGTGGTCCTCCTGAATCCGAGCCAAGATGGGTTCTGCCCTAGAAGAAGAGTGTGTGGCAAGACCAATTGTGGACAAGTAGAGGAACAAGCAAACAAAGCGGCTACAAGTATCTGGCCCAGGACTTTACATACTGTATTCATATAGACTGTAAATAGGACTCTGGATTCAAGAGCCCAGAGAATCTCTCAATTCCTAGACTGCCTGGGCCTGTTAACAACTAAATCATATCAGAGCAGATTTGAAATTAAGATCTAAGTGTTCCAGTCCCAAGCCATTGTGAGCCAGAACATTTCCTTTTCTGCGTATATTTTTGTTATCTCTTGGATCTCAGTTTCTAAACTGATAACTCTTTGGTATATGATTTTTCACATTCTCCAAAGTACAGATCTCTCCTATCATGTAATTTCAAGATGGTGGGAGGGAATCTTAGGAGTCAACAAAAGGCAATCTCTTCATTTTACAGATAAGGACATTAATGTCTAGTTAGATGAAGCGAGTTACTCAAGTTAAGGTCAGGATCCTTCCGTCATTACCCCCAACTCATTGATTTGGTTTTTTCTTTAACATTACATTACTTCTCTTAGTTCATCAGAATATTCCTAAATAAATTATTCTTTCTTTTGAGTCTCTCTTTTTTTTTTTACTTTGTTTTTTTAACAGTACCTGTTTCTACAATATCCCATTTTGTACCCAATCAGTGTCCAACAATCTCCTTTCTCCTTTGTCTCAGAAGAAATGTCTTACCATCCAATGTTCACTTCAATATGAGCATCCAAGATGGCGACCACATCAGCGGTGGCAGCTTGCCAGCCAGTGTTCCGTGATTCAGCGAGACCTTTTCTCTCCGTGTGCCGTATTAATTTCAGCAGTCCTGGATACTTCTGATTGTAAAACGCAATCTTCTCATTCAAGGGGATTTTTAATTCTCCTGCCAATCAAACACATAAAGAACTCTGAATGCAATTGTCAGCGTGGTCCAGAAATTCCATGCTCTTGCCACAGTTGTGGTTAGATGACTTCTAATCCAGTCTGAGAAATTGCAGAATGCAGGCTGAAAATATGGGTAATGTTTCTTCTGCACCTACTTCTCCTTTGCCTTCCATACTGAGGTTTAATCTTAGGAGGTCAAATCTCATGTATAACACTTCTGTCACCTTTCTTTTGTAGCTAAACCACCTAAGAATAGTAACACCGCTTCCATTGTGATAGGCACTGTGCTAAGTGCTTAACGTATATTAAGAAATTCTTATGAGAATGAGTAGAACGGATGTTCATTCTCTAACTAGACAGAGAGGCTGATAAAAAGACCCTGGCAGACATTGCACAGAGATAGCCTGGAAAGTCTTCTTTATAATAGTTGTGCTCTGAATATCCTGGAGAAAGCATAAACAACTGAAATGGTTTTGTGATACTTCTACTTGGCCTACTCAAGGGCTGTTGAAACAGAACATCCAGGTTTGGCCAGCTTTTAGCTAATGAGTTTAACTCCATAATTATTTGAGCAAGATTCACTGTTAACAGACTATTCAGAGCTTTCCCTTCCCTCTCTTTTATTTCTTTTATAAATCCAGTCCTTGCCTTTGTTTCTTGACTCAGTCTACTAGGTGATTTTCCCACATCTATGTACACAAATTGCATACAAATCACTAAGCAGTATGATTCATTAAGGAAATGACTCTAAGTTATTCTTTAACAAGATTAACTTACTTAATTATCAAAGAACCCTAAGAAGTAGATATTCTAGTATTTCCATTTCACAAATGAGAAAATGAGGCGTACAGAGGTTAAGAAAATTGTCCCAAGTCATGCATCAAGTAAATCGTATGTCCAAGAACTGCATTTAGGCTGTATCTAGCTAACAAGTTCATCTCAAGAACTAAGTGCATGCTTAATTGGTTTTGTCAAGTTCTTCCTTCTCTCTATAATCAAAGAATGACATTCCAGCAGGTTGCTTCTGTCAAAAGAAGAGTAGATTTGTGATGCCTGAGTAACTGGTATCAGTCTATACCTGCATGATTATGACACTAAAGATTACATATCTTAGAGTTTAGACCTTCCTCAGTTGCACTTAAGATGGTGTAGTGACCCCATGTACAATAGTCCTAAACCCTGCTCTATCCTGTGTCAATCTCACTGTCTCAAACACATCTACCCCAATAACCCCAGGCCCTGAATCAATCCACCTCATCGAGGGGTTTCCTCTCCTGCGCTATCCCTCCACACTCCCAAGCATGACATCTTTCTCCAAGGACTGGTGCCTCCTTGCAACATGTTCAAAGTATGTCAGATGAAGCTTCAGAATCCTTGCCTCCAAGGAGCAGCCTGGTTTAACCCTCTGCAGGATGAATCTGCACTGAAGGTAACTACTCAATTACTTCGAAGTCAATGAGTCTGAAGATTGTTTGCTCCCAGTGGGAGTGGACCAGGAGAAATCAAGGTAGCAAGTTCCTGCACTCAAACAAGCATCTACTTTTAGGAAATAACTAGTAAGTGTTGCCATAGATTTGAACAATCCAGGCTCTAATTAGGCCTAACTCAGCATCACTTCCTATTTGAAAGTAGAAAGATCTCTCTTCTCAATTTAGACAGAAGAACTATGTAATCTATCAGAACTCTTCCAACACCAAACATCAGCGAGTCTATCTAACACTGTACTTAAACTTAGCTTGTGTTAACTATACTTTAAATCATATGCTGCCAGGTATAGGAAGACTTGTTTGTACCCAATGATACATGTTAGATTACTAAATTTGAATTGTTAACCATTTAACAATTTTAGATTGTGGCTTACTTTGCTTGGTGTGTTTGGTTTTGGTTTCCCATCTGTGCTACTCTAGTTTTCCATGTATCAAATGCACTGTGCAATATTAAAGAATGGGAAAAATTTTATGGAGGTAAATCACATTACAAAAATTTGTGACAGTACTTCTCTCTAGTTCTCAGTGGTTTAAATGTGACTCAGTCTTCTGTACTTTGTCATAAACAGCAGGTTTTCCAGATGACTCTTCTGCTGGGTGTCAAAATAGAAATCACTGTTACCTTGCTTTAAATTATATATATATATACACACACACACATACATACATATATATATATAAATTACATACATATATTGTTGTTGTTATGTGCCATCGAGTCGCTTGCGACTCATAGCAATCCTATGTACAAGAGCTCTAAACGCTGTTCTATCCTGTGCCAACCTAGCCATCTCAAACGCACTTATTCCCACCTCTCCAGTCACAGAATCGATCCATCTCACCAAAGGTCTTCCTCTCCTTCGCTGCCCCTCCACTCTGCCAAACATGATGTCCCTTTCTAAGGACCAGTCCCTCCTTGCCACATGCCCATAATATGTCAGATGAAGCTTCAGAATCCTTGACTCCAGGGAACACTCTGGCTTCACCTTCTCCAGAACAAACCTGTTTGTTCTCCTAGCAGTCCATGGTATATTCAACACTCTTCTCCAGCACCACAGCTCAAAGGCATCAATCCTCTTTCCATCAGCCCTATTCACTGTCCAACTCTCTGATGCATAGCACATAACTGCAAAGACTATAGCCCGGATCAGGCGCACCTTAGTCTCCAGCCTGACATCGTTGCTCTTCAGTACTCTTGAGAGGTCCCTCACAGCCGACTTTCCCAATGCAAATCGTCTCCTGATTTCCTGGCTGCTGTTACCAAGAGCGTTGACTGTGGAACCAAGTAAATTAAAACTGTTAACTATCTCAATCTCCACACCATCCATGCTGATGCTGCCAATTGGCCCAGTGGTTAGAATCTTTGTTTTCTTGACATTTAGCTTCAGTCCATATAGGAGGCTGAAGTCCTTGATCTTCTGCAGCAAACGCCTCAGGTCCTCCTCAGTTTCAGCAAGCAGGGTTGTGTCATCTGCATAACGCAGGTTGTTGATGATTCTTCCACCAATCCTGATTCCACATTCCTCTTCGTATAGCCCAGCGTCTCAGATGATCTGTTCTGCATACAGGTTGAAAAGGTATGGAGACAGAATACATCCCTGATGGACCCACTTCTTGATTTTGAACCATGTAGTGTCTCCTTGCTCTGTTCTGACGACTGCCTCCTGGTCCAAGTATAGGTTTCGCATGAGCACCATCAAATGTTCTGGGATTCCCATTCTTCTCAGAGTCAGCCACAGCTTGTTGTGATCCACACAGTCAAAAGCCTTTGCATAGTCAATGAAGCACAGGTAGACATTCTTCTGGTATTCTTTGCTTTCTGCCAAGATCCACCTGACATTAGCTATAATATCCCTAGTACCACGACCTCTTATACACACATATATAAATTACACATATATAAATTACATATACATAAATTGCACATATAAATAAATTATATATATAAATTACATATATATATAAATCACATATATATAAATTACATACATATGTTACATGTATATATGTTACATATATATGTTATATATATATGTTGTTGCTATTCTGTACTGTTAAATCTAAATCAACTCACAGCTGACCCAACAGTGGGTTTTCAGAGACAGTAAATTGCACAGGGGAAAACTGCCCATATTTCTCCTGTAGAGCAACTGCAAAAGAAAGTGTGTGTGTGTGTGTGTGTCTGTGTGTGTGTGTGATTGTGGTCCAACATAAAAACCCTTTGGTGGTACAACAGTTAAGTATTCAACTATTAACTGAAAGATTGGCTGTTCTAATCTACCCTGCAGTTCTGTGGGGGAAAGACCTAGTGCTCAACTCCTTTAAAGTTCACAGGCAAGAAAACATGAGAGGAGCCAATTCTACTTTGTCACATGGGCTTGCTGTGCATCAGAGTTGACTTAAGGGATCCCAACAATTACACAGTTCAGTATAAAAACAAATGACCTTTTAATGACAAACCTTCTAAAGCAGGTATATGCTCCCTCGTTAGCCTTGCTTCCCCGTTGATCCCCTCCTCAAATTCTTAATTCCATGCTGGTCCGCAGGACACTCCTAACTTCTTCATCTTTGTTCACATCATTTTTATGTCCACTTTGTACCATCCTCCCTGCTGATTTCTTGTGTATTCTCTGCCTCCTCAAATTCTATCAAGCTTTTAAGTTTCAACACAAGCATTCTTTTCCAGAAAGCCTTCGCACATCATCCCAGGCTGTCTTGCAGTTACTAACAATTCATTCCATTTTACACACTTTCCCCCTTAGTAAAGTGTCTTTCTATAGTTATATCTTGTATCATTGGCTAAAATGGAACTCTTTGAAGTCTCTAACCTTCTCTTGGCTGCACAGTGCCTGCCATGGGATGAAAACTCAATAAATAGTGTCAATATATTGTTGTTTTTATGGGTCATTGAGTTAGGAACAACTCATAGCTGACACTCCAGCATGTCTTCAGAGGCAGTAAATCTCAAAGGAGATTGTCCATCTTTTGCCTGCAGAGCAAGTGAACTGCAAGCCTTTGAGATGACAGCACAACTCTTTAACCTCTAGGTCACCAGAGCTCCCTTGTCAATAAGTAGTTGCTGAATACTGAGGAGAAAATACATATTGTGATATAATTTTTGAAAAGCTTGGAAAACCCACTATCATTGAGTTGATCCTAAATCATAGTGACATCAGAGGAGAGAGTAGAACATCCTATAGCATTTCCAAGGCTATAAATCTTTAAGGAAGCAGATTACCCCATATGTCTCCCCCAGAGCATCTAGTGAGATCGAACCACTTATCTTTTGGCTGTCATATGCTTTAGCCACTGTGGCACCTGGTCTCCTTATATCCAGAGAGAAAAGAAAAAAGAAACATCACCCATATCAGATTGCAGCATTTCAAACACTACCAAGGTAAGCAAGAATTAATAACACTTTACTGTTGTTGTTGTTGTTGTTGTTGTTAGTTGCTGCTGAATCAAGTATGACTCATAGTGAATTAAAGATCTGACTTTCTGTCCTATTTGT